CATTGAAAGCATTGGAAATAAACAAAGCTCCGGGAACTGATGGAATTGAAATCTTTCAACAAAGTGAGGAGGCACTAGAGGCACTCACTCATCTATGGCAGGAAATTTGGATGACAGCTACCAGGCCAACTGACTGGAAGAGATCCATATTTGTACACATTCCAAAGAGAGGTGACCCATTGGAATGCGGCAATCAATGGACAATATCATTAATGTCCCATCTGGGTAAAGTTTTACTAAAGGTAATACAGAAACAGCTGCAAACATACATTGACAGAGAACTTCCAGAGATTCAAGCCAGTTTCAGAAGAGGACCTGGAATGAGGGACATCATTGCTGACGTCTGATGGATCTTACCTGAAAGCAGAGACTACCAGAAAGATGTTTACCTGTGCTTTATTGTCTACTCAAAAGCTTTTGATTGGATGGAACATGACAAGATATGGAAACAGAAGACGGGAGCACTGAATGGTTTAAAATTAGGAAAGGTGTGCCCCAGAGTTGTCTTCTTTCATCATATTTATTCAACTTGTATGCTGAGAAAATAATCTGAGATTATGTGAAGATAAACATGGCATCAGGTTTGGAGGAAGAGTCATTAACAACCTGGGATCCAAGGATGATGCAACCTTGCTTGCTGAAAGTGAAGAGGACTTCAAATACTGATGAAGATCAAAGGCCACAGCCTTTGTTATGGGCTTCATCTCAATGTAAAGAACACAAAAGTCCTCACCACCAGACAAATAAACAACATTCATATCAGTGGAAAAATGATTGAAGTTGTCAAAGACTTCATTTTTCTCAGATCATCCATGAATTCTCATGCAAGCAGCAGTCAGGAAATCAAACGACGTATTGCATTAGATATATCTGCTGCACAAGACCTTTTTAAAGTGTTGAAGAGCAAAGATGTCAGCTTGAGGACTAAGGCATGCCTGATTCAAGCCATGGTATTTTCAATAACCATATATGCATGCAAAAGTTGAACAGTGAATAAGGAAAACCATATCCAAATCGATGCCTTGAGTTACGGTGTTTTAGGAGAATATTGAAAGTGCCATGGACTGCCAAAAGAACAAACAGATATGTGTTGGAAGAAGTACAGCCAGAGTGCTTCTTGAAAACCAAGATGGCCAAACTTCATCTCTCATATTTCGGACATATTATCAGGAGGGTCCAGTCACTAAAGAAGGATATAATGGTTGGTAAAGTGGAGGAAAAAAGAAGACCCCCAATGACATGGATTGGCACAGCAGAAGCAGGACCAAGCAGTATTTCGTTCTGTTGTACATACAGTCACTATGAGTCGGTACCAACTCGATGGCACCTAACAACACAAAAAGTAGGTAAAACCAATCCATTAGCTAATAAATATTTTTTTTAATGTTTAAAAAATTGTAAGATGTGCTGCTTTGGGTGATAAATTGCCCTTTCATTCTATATGTAGTGGGATTTCACATTCTAGTTTTTGAATATTGAAAGGCTTAAGCTCAAATATCAAATATATTAAAACTCTAAAGGTCTTTGTGAGAATTATTTATTAAGTTGGTGTTCTAGCTCATGCTTTCCTCACAATCAGAACATAAGTAGTTTGATGTTTCATGGTAGGGTAGGAAAAAAAAAGTCTGTCAACCAAAATTGGAAGTTTTAGTGAAATTGTGCTACATGGAAATTTGAGTCATTTTCCAAGAAATTGTTTTGACCGAAACTGTATGTGTCCAAAAAGAGGAAGCCACTTTTGGCCCTTTGGGTCAGATTCCCCAGTGCTTTCAAATACCCCTTTATGAATCTGAATACTTATGTGGCAGACAGATGTGCTTTCACTATTGTGCCCCATTTGTAGATGTGGTGGATTACCAAGCATATATTAGGTCACTCTGGCAACAAAGCTTTTTTTTTTTTTTTTTTTTTTTTTGACACAAGCTACTTGAGGAATTAAGAGTCATCAAGAGGGTAAAAGAAATAAATGGTTTAAAATAAGAGTGAAAAAATTAAAGTAACTGGCAGGACTGATGTTGCAAATGAGTGAATAGTGAACCCGTAAAACTCTCCTTATTGGCAGAAAGATTGGGTGATGAAGTGCAGACCAGTGGTAAGATCTTTCCCAAGGCATTCCTGGAGCCTCCATTGCTGAGGGTGGGAATGGAGAGTGCATATAACCTCTACCCATGTCTTTGGTTTGTTCCAACCAAGTAGCTCCATAAGGTAGTATGGTATATTCAAGAAGAGAAGTGTTTGATTTTGGGGCCCTTCTGCCATATTGGTGCTTTTACTGGCAATCTCTACAGGATGCTAGGTTTTCCTTGATTGTCTCTATCGGTCTTATTTTATTGAGAGAGAATGTTGTTGTTGTTAAGTGCCTTCAAGTCAGTTCTGACTCATAGTAACCCCATATAGAGTTTTTAAGGAGCCGTCAGTGAGCTTGAACCATTCAGACGGACTTTGCAGTCCAGTGTTTTAACTCACAACACCACACCAGTACTCCAATGGAAAGAGAATCCAAGATGAAAAAGAAATGTTTAAAAAATTTGTTGCACAGAAAGATATTAGAAAAAATTCTCTTAAATTAGTATTGTTTTGTTCAATAATTTAATACTGTTCTTATACTATAATTCTTGTCCACATAAAACTCTAGGTTAAGAAAATGTTACAGTTGTTTGAGATTTCAGATTTTATATATTAGGCACAGTGGCTCCAGTGACCCAGATATACAAGACTGAGAGGCTACTGGCTGGCTAAGTCTCAGTAAGAATGGCATTTATAGAGGAGCGAGAACACAATATCCAAATATAAGAAATAGTATAAATTACCATTCTTCATGGAGTCTTATTTTCTCTAATATTTAAGGAATTTCTAAATTCAATCTATAAACAGTAGGAACCTAATATGGTGAAATGCCCTTAAGGTTTTCAGTATGTGAAGTTGAATTCCATTTCACATAAAGAACTGCAGACTGAAGAAGGGGCTTTGATGATAGCTTCCAATTCCTTGAAGGAAAAGCAATCAACAGCTGAGTACCCTTATCAAGAGTAGTTTGGATAGCAGACAGCCCCAGTAGCATACGGAGCTGTATACTAACTGGTTATGTTGACGCAGGTCTCTAGCTGCCTGCTCTGTTTCTGGGCAAGCTGTGGCATCCCCTAGCAGCAATCCTGGGAATGTCCCTATCACTTTTCCTTTTGGTCTGTAATTTAGTTTAATTTGAATTAGGCATTAGCCATTCACGGTATTCAAATATGTTTTCTTTGGTAGTCTTGAGGATCATGGTGTACTTACCAAAGATGTAGTTGGAAGAATACTCTTTCCTATATTTTTATAGACTGACTTTAGAAACAGCTCAAATATTGTAGAAAATAATACAGTGCAATGTATTTTATCAAATATGATTACATGAGAATATCCACAATAGGGCAAATGTAACCTAATATTTCTGGATTTAGTAAGTGGATCAGAATAACACTCCCTTGGTAGATTTAATGAGTGTGCAGCGTGTTAATGGGAATCTGTGTTTCCACGACTTATTGTTTGGATTGTTGTTATCGATTGATTATCTGTGATGTATTGGTACATGTTAGGATGGTTGACAAAGAATGACTGAAGAGTTGAGAGGCCTGCAGTGATTCAGAATGCCATCGAGTTAACTATGAAGTGGCAGTACTCACAAATATGTCATCTATGTCCATGAACAAATGTAGGAACAAAATCTGCTGTATCCATAGGATGGAATATCATTCAGCTGTACAGTGTAATAGGGAGCTTGGTGGCTCCATTAGATAAATACTGGACTGCAAGCCATAATATTGGTGGTTCGAGCGCCAGAGCTGCTCCGCAGAAGAAAGATGAGGATTTCTGCTCCTGCAACAATTTAAGACCTCTCAGGAAACCCTATACCTGGTCGCTATGAGTCAAAACATTCAGGAGACATGAAGTTCCGATATACACAACAGCATGGATGAACTTAAAACGGTCTGCTCAGTGACATAAGTCAGTTACAAAGGGACAAATATTGTATAATCCCACTTAATTAAAATGTCTAGAACAAGCAAGTGCGTGAAGACATGTAGGAAAGCGGAAGGGGAAGTCTTGCTTCAGGAACATCACTTTTCTGTTGGAAATGGAGAGCAGTGATTATTGTAGAACTAGGTAATTTATAGGAGCTCTGGTAGCGGAGTGGTTATGAATCAGGCTGCTAATCTCACGGTCAGCAGTTTGAAACTACCAGTTGTTCCGCGGGAGAAAGATGAGGCTTTCTGCTCCCGCAAAGATTTATAGCCTCAGAAACCCTACACAGGATTGTTATGAGTCAAAACCAACTCCGTGGCACATAACAACAACAACAACAGGTAATTTATGTCATTGAATTCTCCACATGCAATTGGTTGAAATGGCCAATGTTTTGTCACCTATACTTTACCAGAATTCTAAGAATATTTGTTTATTCTGGATATACAATCTGCCACAATGCTGACTACCAGAAACATGTATGAATAACTGTGATGGGCGAGGGTTGAATGACCGTGGAGGCAAACAGGCGTTGAAGCCAGTGAATACAGAGCTCTCTGGGAGAAGAATAGAACAGGGAGATGAAGGCCCTGTTCCTTGGAGCTTGTATTCATCACCTTCTACTATCAAAGGAAAGGGAGTCCTGGTGTGGTGCTGTGGGTTAATGCGCCAGACTGCACAGCCGTTTGAACGGCAAGGTCAGCAGTTCAAGCTCACCAGCTGCTCATGGCAAATCCTATACAGGGTCGCTATGGGTCAGAACTGACTCAACGGCACTTAACAACATCAAAGGAATACCTGAGCTTTGTATACTATTACCAAGGCAAAGGTTTTGTTGTTGTTTTGAGTGAGCACATATGCAAGGAGTGAAAACTGATTTCTGTCTCTGAGTCTCTCTGGTAGTAAAAACCCCATTATTACTTCACATTATCATGATTCTTATAGCAGGACAAGATGAATGACTTAGCTCTGTTACCTGTTGCCTTTTTGTTTCCTAGGAATCCGAGAAAAAGGGGCTCATTGAAAGAATCTATATGGTACAGGATATTGTTTCAACTGTTCAAAACATCTTAGAGGAAATCGCTTCTTTTGGAGAAAGAATTAAAAAGTAAGTTCTAGACTTTCATTGTGTCGTATGAACTAGAGCCGTCCCCTTACAAGGACTGCTCCAGGGGCAGTGGGGGCTGGGAAGCTTGGGATCAGATGAGGCGAACGCAGCAGTAGTACTTTGCAAGCCCTGTTTGACTTTGGAAGGCTGGTTCTTTGGGCTTGTCAACTTCACAGTTGGGCAGTGCCTCAGAACTAGGGTGACCAGATGGCCCAATTTACACCAATCATTGCAGCATAATTATAAATAGTGCCCCCTTTCACTCTCATAAGTATCCTCATTTGGGTGATAAATTATGGTTGCTTGCTTAGAAATAAAAGGAAAGTAAATATGCTCCAAATTATACTTTGCCATCTGACCCATAGAGGAGTATAGTCAATGCCTTGAGTGAGTATTTTTCTCAATTTTCTAAAGAATGGCATATTAGCAGTACCACCATAGCTATGTAGACATGAAGTCAATTCATCATGTACATGGATGCCTTAGGATAGGAACTGACACACTTTCTCTGTAGAGGGACAGAGGACAAATATCTTCAGCTTGGGAACTCATAGGATCTCTGTTCCTGCAAATAGTCAGCACTGCCATTGGAGTGTCAAAGCAGTTACAGATGATTTGTAAATGAACAGGTGTTACTATGTTCCAGTAAAACTTTGTTTACAAGAACAAGTGCCATTTGACTCAAATTCACCCCATATCTGCTGACCTACCTTTGGGCATCGTGGTAAATGATCTCTGGAACTGAATTGAGAAAGGCTCTTCATGATTAATTGCTTTGGGTTGGGTTTGGTTTTGTATGTTGTTAACTCTTCATAATCTGGCTCTCATTTGATGCCTCTGAATAAAGCAACCCAAATCCACTGCTGCCCAGTCAATTCCCACTCACAGGGACCTTATAGGACAGAAACGTCCCGTAAAGTTTCCAAGTCCTCAAATCTTTAAGGACACTGACTGACACAGCTTTCTCCTGTGGAGAAACTGGTGAGTTTGAAGCACTAATGAATAGGAAAGTGTTTTTTTTTTTTTTGGTTTTTCCTTTGTGGATCATGAGCACATAATTTTCCCTTTTTAAATGCTGCATGTGTCAACAGGTTGTTCTTCCTGTGGGGTTTTATTGCTGTTGTTAAGTTCCATCAAGTTGATTCCAACTTGTTGTTGTTAAATGCCATCAAGTTGGTTTCAACCCATAGCAACTCTCTAGAGGGTTTCCAAGGAGCGACTGGTGACCTTGAACCACCAACCTTGCAGTTCAAACTGACTTTGCAGTCTAGCGCATCAACCCACAGCACCACACCAGGACTCCTGGTTCCAACTTACACGGTTGCTATTCAGTGTGGTTAAGTGGCCTTTGACTCATAGGGAGAACAGAATGAAAGATTGCTGGGTCTTGCACCACCCTCACCATCATTGTGCCAATCCATGTCACTGGGAACTTCCTCTTTTTGACTGACATCCACTTTATCAAGCATGCTGTCCTTCTCCAGGGACTGGTTCTTCCTGATAACATGGACAAAGTCTGGCCTTCCTGGCTTCTAAGGAGCACTCTAGCTGTACTTCTTCCAACACAGATCTGTTTGTTCTTTTAGCAGTCCATGCTATTCTAAATATTCCTGTCCAATACCATAACGCAAACGGATCATTTCTTTTACAGTCTTCTTTATTCATTGTCCAATTTTAACATGCTTGTGAGGCTACTAAAAATATGATGGCTTGGGTCAGGTGCACTTTAGTCTTCAAACTGACTTCATTGTTTTTGAACACGTTAAAGAGGTCTTCTGCAGCAGGTTTGCCTAATATAGTATGTTGTTTAAATTCTTGACTGCTGCTTCCTTAAGTGTTGATAGTAGATACAAACAAAATGAAGTCTTTGACAACGTCAGTCTTTTCTCCATTCATTATGACATTATTTATTGGTCCAGCGGTAACGATTTTTGTCTTTACGTTGAGATGCAGCCCACACTGAGGACTGTGGTCTTAAATCATCAATAAGTATTTTAAGCCCTCTTCTCTTTTAGTAAGTAAGATTGTATCATCTGCATATTGCATGTTGTCAATGAGTCTTCCTCCAATCCTGATGCCATGTTGTTCTTCATATAATCCAATTTCTCAGATTATATGCTCAGCATACAGATTGAATAAGTATGGTGAAAAACTGGAACTCTAGTCCACACCTTTCCTGATATTAAACCATGCAGTGTCCCCTTGTTCTGTTTGAATGTCTGCCTGTTGGTCTATGTGCAGGTTCCTCATGAATACAGTTGTCTAGAATACGCGTTCTTTGCAATGTTATCCATAGTTTGATATGATCTACATAGTTGAAAGCCTTGGCATAGTCAATTAAGTCAAAGGTAGACATCTTTCTGGTATTATCTACTTTCAACCAAGATCCATCTGACATCAGCAATCATATCCCACATTCAAAGTTCTATTCTGAATCCAGCTTGAACCTCTGGCAGTTCCCTGCCAATTTACCGTTACAGCCATTTAAAAATCATCTTTAGTAAAATTTTACTTGCATGCGATATTAATGATTATTGCCCAATGACTTCTGCATTCTCTTGGGTTACCTCTCTTTGGATTGGGAACAAATGTGAATCACTTCCGATCAGTTGGCCAGGTAGCTATCATCCAAATTTTTTGGCATACATGAGTGAGTGCCTCCAGGGCTGCATCAGTTTGCTGAAAGATTTCAATTTGTAGTCCATCATTTCCAAGTACCTTGTTCTTTGCCAATGCCTTCAGTACACCTTGGACATCTTTCTGCAGTACCATTGGCGCTTAATAATATGCTACCTCTTGAAATAAACACTTGACTGCAATCTATATGGTTGGCAGTTCAAACCCACTAACTGCTCCTTGGAAATCCTACACAGGGTTGCTATGAGTTGGAATCAACTCGATGGCACTTACATAAAAACAACCACCTCTTAAAATGGTTAACTATAGACCATTACTTTTTGGTACAGTGACTGTGTATTCCTTTCATTTTCTTTTGATATTTTCTGCATCCATCAAAATTTGTCCATAGATTTCTTTTGTTGCTAAGTGCTGTTAAGTAGGTTCCAGCTCATAGTGACCTTAGGTAGGTAGGGTTTCCCAGTGGTGGCTGATAGGTTTAAACTGCCAACCTAGCAGTTCAAGCTGACCTTGTGGTCCAGTGCATTATTCTGCCTTCTCACACCAGGATTCCATAGAATCCTTCAATGTTACAAGTTGAATCTTGAATTTTTTCTTCAGTACTTTCAGCTTGAGAAATCTGAGCATGTTCTTCCTTTTTGGTTTTCTAACTCCAGGTCTTTGCACATTCCATAAAAATACTTGACTTTGTCTTCTTGAGCTGCCCTTTGGAATGTTCTATTCAGCTGTTTTACCTCCTCATTTCTTCCACTGACTTTAATATCTCCACTGGAGAGCAAGTTTCAGAGTCTCTTCTCTTATCCATTTTGGTCTTTTCCTTCATTCTTGTCTTCTTAATGGCCTTCCAGTACTTCTTGATGTCCTCCCACAAAAGGAACCTCTTGATGTCCTCCCACAAATCTGGTTTTCTGTCATTAGTGTCTAATACATCAAGTCTGTTAGTGAAATGATCTATAAATTCAGGTGGGATATGTTTAAGGTCTTATTTTTGCTCCTGTGGGCTTGTTTTAGTTTTCTTCAGCTTCAATCTGAACTTGCACATGAGCAATTGATGGCCTGTTCTATGGTTGACCCCGGGGCCTTGTTTAAGCTCATGATATGGAATATTTCAGTCTCTAGTCACAGATGTGGTCAGTTTGATTCCCGTGTATTCCATCTGGTTAGGTTCATTTTCATCATCCTATTTTACATGGTTTAAAAAAAAGTTATTTGCAACGAAGAAGTCTTTTGTCTTGTAAAATTCTATCATGTGGTCTTAAGAAGGTTGCAATGAATATGGCAGCAGGACAGAAATCCCACCAAAGAGACCTGACCACTCATCAGAGATAAATGTGCAAACAATCTTTCGTCTGCTCATTTCCCTTTCTCTGTCTGCGCACCTCCACTCTGGTGACTAGAGGGAGTGCCTGAGTGAGCGGACACCCCGCAAACCCCCGAAGGGTTCCACTGTACACGCGAATGGATCTGCTCAGCTGTGAACTGTTTCCCGCTAGGAGAAATACCTGGACTATTTTGCTATGCTTTTTTTGTTGTTGCTTTGGTCCCCCATTTACCTTGGGGTGAGTTCCTTATGTTACCCAAGAAGAGACAGCAATTGTGGCCATATAGCAAAGCTGCAATCACACACTATAAAGTCCCACCATCTGGGCAAGATCCAATATCAGCTGTTGTACACTACATAGAGAGCCAACACTTGCTAAAATTACTTTCAATTGAGTCATAAGAAAAGTGAAAAGGGAAACCTATGTCCTGATCACATCTACCAGGAGGCACTCAGAAAGCTTACTAATACAGCAACATACATTCATCTAATTATTGAAAATATATCTAATTATTGAAAACACCCAAGAAACAAGAGAAGATCTCAGCTCATTCCAAAAACAAGGTAGAGTAGCTGAATCAAATGAGCTAGAGGTAGACCTAGAACTCCCATTGGAAAGAGGGCAGACTTTGGAACTGCCTGCTAAAGAATTCAGGAGAATGATATTGAAGTGCATCCAGATACTTCACAGAGGTATTGAGAAAAATAAGGAAGAAGTCTGGAAAGTGCTACAGGAACAATCAAATAAGCTAGAAATAGCATTGGAAATGATTCAAAACCAGCAAAAAGAGGTACAAATGATTAGTAATAAAATATCAGAAATGGACAATACATTAAAAGGGCAAAGGCGTAGAGTTGAAGAGACGGTAGCCACAACCAGCAAGCTTGAAGACAATCTCTCAATACGGCTAAGATTGAAGAGCAAGCAGAAAAAAATAATACAAAATTCTATTATGTGATCTCCAGCACGTTTTCTATCACAAGGCTATATTTTCCAACTACTGGTCCTACCTCTTTGTTTCCAACCTTTGCATTCCAGTCA